AGGAGAGACAAGCCGCCGCAAAAGACGCCAACGAACCGGCCAATGGAGACACTCCCGCTGTGCGCAACATCAGGCCACTGCCATCCCGGCCGAGCAGGCCATCTGCACCACTGGCACGATCCTTCTCCACCGCCCGCGGAGAAGGACTCGGGACGCTCAACGGAGGAGAGTTTGCCCGCCGGCAAAAGAATCGCCGGCAAAAGAGCCCCTGGCAAAATAGGCGCCGGCCAGAAGCGACGGCGGAGGAGGCGGGAGCTTCGGAGGCAGCGGCTGCCAAGGCGGCGGAGGCGGCGGAGGAGGCGGGAGCTTCGGAGGCAGCGGCGGCCAAGGCGGCGGAGGCGGCGGAGGAGGCGGGAGCTTCGGAGGCTGCTGCGGCCAAGGCGGCGGAGGCGCTCCGTGCGGCGTGGTTAGTTGGGGCAGAGGTGGCCTCGTAGTCGCTGAGTAGGGGCGTGACGGGCTCGTTAGCCTTTGTAGTTAGAGATGGTGTGTCGATGGTAGCGAGTGAGCTGCGCGCATAAGAGCGCGGTTAGCTTAGTGGCAGTTGCTTGTCGCAGACAGTACAAGAACAGACCGTCGGGCCGACACCGAAAGATTTTCTCGCGATCCCGAACTAATGCCGAAATCAGTAACCACAAAGCACAAACCACTAACCACCTAACCAGCCTCCGGCGGGGCCCCCCGCTACCATCCAAACCCGAGTAGCAGTACCGGTCTCTATCATAGATAGAGGCTCAAGTGTGACATAACTCATATCTCACATTTACTTGATAAACCAGCCGATCCAACAATCCTTTCACACCGGACGGTAGAGCCGAATCTGACGGCCAGAAAGCTCACCAGCCTCGCAACACATGCCATACCCATCCCTGACAAGCGTGGTTTGACTCACAGAAGCCGCAGGCCACGTGGAGACATAGCTACGTGACCGCGCAAAACACGCCCGGAGACTGCTCACATCCTGATATCCCGGGCTCCAACAATGGTCCCACCATCGGGCCTATCGCGGTCCGACGCCCACAGGTACCGGGTGCACCCAGCCTGGCCGCAGGAGGGCGGGCCCGGGCCGAACCTCCCACTCAGAGGTCCATTGAAGTCGTCCGCGGCACACCATATAGGTCAAGCATTACAGACACCCATTCAGCGGGAACGGAAAAATTATTCCCGCGGGACCACGGGTCGTTCTGCAGCTTCTCGGCTGCGAGCATTACCTGCTTCAGACTATCTGCTGACCGCACGGGCTGCGTATGGTTGATCTCAAGTTGGGGCACCTTCGCAAAAGGAATTCCGACGTGCATGTAACCATCAAATTTGCGGCACAACTCACGCAACGGCACAAAGAAGGCTTGCAACGAGTTCTCTGTGTCTGCCGTACGAAGAAGTGATTGCGCAAATGTTCCCCACACCGCCCGTTGCATGATGAGTCGATCGATTCGACGGACCTGCAGCCCTTGAGGCCATTCAAGCTCGACGAAGATGTGATGAAGAAAGCCCAGGTTGAACACCTGAACAGCGTCTAACATAGTCAGGTTGGTACGAACAAAGCCCCCAATGCGCTGAGGTGGTGACACTTTGCCTGTTAGACGCAGTGCCTCTGGCCAATGTGACATGTACAAGGTCTTGAACTTTGACGGCTCTGAGTGTAGCAGCATAAGCCCTTGACATAGCAGGGAAGTGTCGACGTCGATAAAGACATGGTCATCATTCTGAAGGAAGAAGACAAGCCGCCCTGAGTGCTTGTCGGATCCGATTGAGCTCATAAGCCATTTCCATCTGGCTTGTGTCAATATGCGTGTAAATTCCAAGTGCTGAAGGCGGCTGCCGAGGGAAGAAGTCAGCTCGTTCTCTAGGTTTTGCCTTTGACTGCTGAACTCCTCGTCGAGTTGGATGAATAAGTAGAAACCATTGATGGGGAGATCAAAATATGAGCGCATCGCATGGCGAAATACCTGCAGCCTGCTGTACCGATTTCCCCTACTCCGCTTGTTTGTAATGAATGTGCTGAGCAGAAGATCCATGCTGATCGGGCAGTGTGGCCTGCGCCGACCGGCGTTGAGTTGCTTGTGGGTGCTGATGTTGTCTCTCCGCTGCCAATGGTCTCCCTCAGCGAACGGCCACGCCGGAACGTCGCCAGAAACAAGATATGCATTCTGCGACGGTGACACTGGCGATGCCAGCGGAAGCATCGCGAGTAGACGCAGCCACGCGCCGCGCCCCGTCCGGCACCGCACGAGGCGCCCCGATTTGCTCCTCCGCACCGAGAGCAGCACGCCGCCGCACGCTCCGAGCAGCAAGAACAAGGCGGCCCAAAGCTGACCGCGCAGCTGTGCGCGGCCAGGCGCGGAAGAGGAGTGTCCGCTGATGAAGGGAAAGTTGAACGGGGAGGCGGGGTCGATGGAGAGTTCGTCGGCTGGCGGGGCGGGCGGCTTGTCGGTCCGCGGGCGGCTTGTCGCGTGGTGAGGCTCCTCGTGCCACGCAGGGGCGGCGCAGCGTGGCTGCCAGTCGGCGCACGCACTTGAGACCGAGAAGATATCTGACTCGACCGCGTTCGAGTCGGAGATCTGAGCGGCGCGGACCTCTTCAGGCCACGCCGGCTCCGCGAGAAGAGGGTCGACGGCCCGGCCAAGCTGGAGGAAGAGATCCTTGGTTGGCACTCGAGAAACGTCCGTCAATCCGTCAATCGCCCGCCACTCGCCGCCGGCGTGCATGCTAGCGACGGGCGCGCCGAGGCCAGTCTCGACCAGCTTCCGCACCTCCAGCATCCCAGGCTTCCCAGCGTCGGCGGGCCGCAACTCGGGCGACGTGTCGTTCACGGGCAAGACGGTGTCGCGTCCCCGAGCGATGATCCCCGTCCTGTTGCTGTAGACGGGACCGACGAGGTCGAACTCAGGCTCGCCCTTGCGCTCCATGCTGTTGCGCGAGGCTAGGACGGTCTCCAAGTCGGCCTCGGCCTACTCGCAAACACACAGGCAATCGTTCCGTCAGCGGGTTACAAAGCTCGCACACACAAAGAGCCAGAGGGGCGCTCACCGGCTGCTTCTCGTAAATTTCCTTGACGGACGCCAGCGGCTCGCCAATTAGGTGCAACGGCTCGCCCACCGCCTCGCCGATCTCGTCCATCAGTGCTTCCAACGAGCGCCCCTCGTCGTGCCCGCCCTGAACGGCGCGCGGGCTGTTAGTCACGAGCTTGCGCGGCGCGGATACTAGCACGCGCGAGCGAGCACGCACCGGGTGGTTGGCGGGCGCGCTGTCCGACGATACGATGGCCACAAACGAGCTGGTGTCGATGCCGCCAACCTCGCAGAAGCCGTTAAGCGATGCCGGCGCGATCGGCGTTGTGACTGCGGGAAAGGAAGTCGGGGACTCGTGCCACTGCGAGGAGAGAAGCGCGGAGGTGGCAGGGTACGAGGAGAGCGCAAACGCGGTTCCGAGGCAGAGCAGCGCGAGGATGCCAAAGAGGCGGAGCAAGTAGGAGGGGCAGAACTTGGGCCAAGAGAACCAGCCGGAGGCAGAGACGGAGCCCTCCGGCGTGGTAATCGTGGTCGTCTCGACGTTGGCCGTCGCGCCCTGAACAGGAGGGCGGGAGACTGGCGGTTGAGCGGCGAGCGGGGGAGGAGGCCGCATGTATGCAGGCGGCGAGCACCGAGTCTGTGGTCGACGGCGTGGAGCCGCGGGGCACCTTGCCGGTGCCGCCGAGGATGCCCTCGTTGCCGTCCATTTTGAGCAGGGCCCCGAACCGGTTGTTGCCGCCGACCGGGGCGATGCTCTTGGTGCGGACGATCGGGGCGGACGCGCCCTTGCGCCCCTTCTTGCGGCGCGGGTTCGACGGGGTGGCCCTGTCGGGGATGCCCTGCGCACGCGCAAGCGGTGGGTGCGTCAATAGTTGAGGCTCTGCGCGTACAACCGCAGCGTGCGAGGCGCTCACCGCCGGGGCGAGCTTCTCCGCTAGCGGAGACTCCTTGCGCTCGATCTTGCGGAGCGGGGAGGGGGTCTTCCACCCGTCGATGACCTGCGCGCGCGTGCCGTGCGGCAGACGAGAGGTCACAGGATCAATGTAAGTGCCCGCCTGTAGGACTCGCGTGTCCCCGCAATACCCGCGTGTGCTTCTGCTGGGAGGTGCTCACCGCCGGGGCGGGGGCGGCCATCTCCTCTGGAAACTCCTTCCAGTCGGCGTCGCCCTACGCGTCGAACGCGGGATGGGGTCACAGAGTGGGTCGGCAGACGCCGGCGCGCACCAGGCGCTCGCCGCCGTGGCGGCGGGCTTCTTCTCCTCCGGAAATTCCTTGATCGACGGCAGCGGCGCGCCGCCGGCCTCCGCCGGCTTGAGGGCCGTGGCGACCTCGGTGGCCGGCTTGAGCGCCGGGTTCTTGATGGCGCCGGTCTCGTCAACGCAGGCCTCCGCGCCAGACGTTGCCGCAGGGATGTCCTTCTTGAGGGCGCCCTTGACGGCGCCGGTGGGGGCCGTCGGTGGGCCGGTCGGGCGCGTAAACTTGGACCAGAAAACGGCGTGGGTGGCGAACATGGCCTTGGCCTTGTCCGAGTCGACCACGCCCGCGTCGGGCGCCTTTTCCGCGGCCGGGTCCTTCTTGAGGACGCCCTCCGGGCCAGACTTTGCCACGGAGATGTTGACGTTCTTGATGCCGCACGCCTGTGGGCGAGGGAGAGTACGCGCAGGCTTTCGGAGACGGGAGAGGATCATAATCCTGGTGTGCGCACGCGCACCTTGGCTCCGGGGAGCGAAGGCGACACCGACGCGGAGATGACGAGCGTGACGCGGCCGTCGTCAGCCGGCACGATTCCGACCTTCGCGAAGGACTTCATCGGCGAAGACTCGCCCGCGACGTTGCCGCCGCCCGCGTCAATGCCGTCCTTGAGCGGGCTGGGCTCGCTCTCGGGCGGGATGCCGACGGCCTTGGCGCCGGCCGGATCGTCGACGGTGAAGCGGGACGCCTCGGGCACGGCGTCGAGCGAAACGCCCGCAAAGTGGACGCCGGCGAGCGAGCCGGCGGGCTCGCCCTCGGACGGGACGTTGCCAGTGCCGGTGTTGGCGGTGCAGGTGCCGCCGGTGCCGGTGCCGATGCCATCCTTGAGCGAGACGGGCTCGGAGGGGATGCCGACGGCGTTACCTCCGTCAGAGTCGACGACGGCCGTGTTGTCCGCCAGAGACGCCTGTCAGCCACAGAACGCGAGAGGGTCGTCTTGCAGGGAAGGCGCAGCGTTGCGTGCGTTGCAGCGGTGCGCGTGTGCATACCCCCTCCCTCAGCCACTGCAAATTAACGCACACCTGCTTGTCAGCAAGCGGCGGCGGAGGAGAGAGCTTGAGCACGAGCTTCTCACCGGCGGCCGGCACGAACTCGAGTTTGAGCATGTTGATCGAATGAATTCCTGCAGAGAGTCAAGAAGCGGTTGAAGGTGGTGTCCCCGATGGGAGGTGCAGGCCAGCGCTCGAGTGGCCCTCGCGGCTGCGGACACAGAGTCTTGGCACTCTCTAGATGTAGCAGAGATGCGAGCAGGCGGTGCGAGTACCCGCGTAAGAGAGGGAGGGCGGTCGGACGGGTTCGCGCGGGACAAGGGTGTGGAATGGGCAGCAGCGGACGCGTCTCGCGGCCTCCTCCATGGCAGCGGCTGTACCTGCGAGCGGGAGTAGGCAGGCGGTGCGAGGCCGAGGGGGGTGCAGCCGCTCGCGCCGCGAGCGAGGGCGCATCGCATGGTAGGGGTCGTGAGGGGGCGGCGGGTTCCGTGAGCAATAGGTAGGGGTTACTGTTCCCC